GGTTCAAACATCAAACCTGAGTTGTTCCCATCTGATTTATTACCTTTTGATCTCCATCCAGCCGCTCTCTGGGACAGCGCAGGAGGGAGGTGAGGCAGTCCCGGAGCCGGAGCTGCCGTGGCTGTCTCATCGCCTCGCTATGCTCCCCGAGGGCAGGAATGCGTCCGTCCCGTCCCGTTCGGGCTCTGCCGGCTCCCCATGAACGGCTTCTCTGCTTCTCTGCTTCTCTGCTTCTCCGCTTCTCTGCTTCTCCGCTTCTCTGCTTCTCTGCTTCTCTGCTTCTCTGCTTCTCTGCTTCTCTGCTTCTCTGCTGACTCGTGTGCCCTGCCGGGCGGGGACACCCGGGCACAGCGGCGTGTCCTGCCCGTCCTGAGTGGGTGTCCAGCCCCTGTGGCCGCGGCTCCGGCTCCCGCCTGGCACGGCCGGTCCTTGTCTGCGGCTCTCAGTGCCCTAAAAATACCTCGGGAAGCCCTGCTGGGAGCAGCCCCGCCAGCGGCCGGGATGTTTTCCTGCCTTTGTTGGTGCCTTCACGCACGGGGTTTGGTTCTGGTCACCCCACACCCAGCTCCTTGCACTGCTCTGCTCCAGGTGCCATTCCCGAAGGGCAGGGCTGGGCCAGGGTTTGTTCGGGACAATTCTGTCACTCAGGGGAGGTCTGAATTGGCACATTTGCTCTTTGATGTGATGGAGTCATTAAGGGGTGTGCAGAGTTCAGGGGCGTGCAGGGCTGGTAAATGTTCACTTTTTAGCAGAAAAACCCGGGTCTTGTTAAGCTGAGCCAAGGAAATTTAGGAGAGCAGTGCTGGCCTGCAGACTGGGGATTTGTTTTCTTTCTCTCTCTTGGAGAGCTCTGCCTTCCCTTGAAGCTGCCTCCCGATATAGCAGCAGTTGCTAACTCTGAATGAATGTGCCGAATTCCGGCAGCGCCGAGTGGGATTCGGCCGCTTGGCTTGGAGTTTGGGCAGAGCCAGGAGCCTGGGTGGCACTGTCCCAGCCAGTTGTCTCACTGTAAATAGCAAACAGGGCCCAAGTGCCCGTTGGAGGGAATTTGGAGCTTTCCCAGGCTCACCTTGGAGGCGGCTCAGCGTCGCTGAGGTGGCAGAGCTGTGGGTGCCACACGTCCCTGTCACCGTGGTGGTGCCTCTTGGGCAACGTGCGAGGATGCTGAGGAAAGAGCCTTGAGTCAGCACCACGCTGTCAGCCAGGGAGGCCTCCAGCAGGGAGGGACATCCTAAGGGTGGGTCTTCATGGGGGTCCCGGCCCCACAGAAGGGCTGGAGTGGGGCAGAGGCCTCACATCTGATCCCTGCACACATCCAGCCCACCTTTGGGTTTGTCTGCACACATCCAGCCCACCCTTGGGTCTGTCTGTGATCCCTGCACACATCCAGCCCACC